CACTCTTTCTGGAGTGATGGAAATGTTTTATATCGCCATCTGGGTGGTTGTCAATTGAATGCATAAATACACATAACTTCATCAATTAAGATATCTGCACTGGACTATATATAAATTATACCCTAGTAAAAATTTAAAAACAAATTCTAAATGATTAAATAAATAAATAAAATCAGTCTGACACTATTTCTCCTTAAGGTTTCCTGAGGTGCCTACTCCAGACTCCTTCTCCACATAAACTCTCCATGTTTAGGGAATATCATTGTGTTTTACACATCCAGGCTTGTGTAGTTGTTGCTTCCAGAACCTGGACTCATGAGCTTATTTTGCACTTGGAAAACTCCTACTCATTCTTGGAGACACAGCCCTCTGTGAAATGTCCCTGGCCTTCCACCTGCTCATTCTAAAGGGAAGCTGACAAGTATGTCGCCCATACAGAGAGCTCCCGGGTAGCTGTCTTGCTTTTTGCCTGGAAGACCCATAGCAAAGGAAAGCCTCATCAGCTATCCATTCTTATGAACAGGGAACCAAAGAGTCCCATACATTCAGAAAATCAACAGCACAAAAGAAAAAAACATCAAGATAAATAAAATAATTGGCCTCAAAAGAAGCTGAAATACCTCAGGAAATAGAAAAGAAACTTAAGAGACAAGAAACTTCCATTAATCCTTAGGGAGATTAACAAAGTTGCTGAATCCAGCAAATAAGAGCAGATTGCTATGAAAACATAAGACCAAGAAAGCAAGAAAGAACCCTTGAAAATTAAATGTATGAAACTGAAAAATATTTTATTGGGAGGGATGGGAATATTGGGAAGGTAAAGAAATGTCTCATAATATAGAGCAAAAACACAAAAAGATGGAAATTCTATGCAAAAATAAGAGGCATAGATGATTAATGCAAATGATCCATTATCCAATTAATAAAATTTCCAGGAAGGGAGACCAAGAAAATGAAAGGTAGCATATCAGTCGTACTCTAAGCAGGAGAGTTCACCCCCAGATAGCCACATGAAGAGATCTAAATGGGAAGGTAACAGAGAGGCAGAGTAAAGGGAAAATACAGGTTATGGTGAGGCAGTCAAAGACTAGCAAAAGAAGTTACCACCCTACAGCTAATGGAATCAGGGGAGACAATCCAGTCATAGAACTAGGGGACTGTGGAGGAAGGGCTACCTGATTAACTGCTATAGTCTAGAGGCATGGGACCATCACCAGACACTCAGCATTCATGAGGATGGGCCAGGGTTAGGGAGGCTAAGAGCAGGGAGTTGGAGCCCAAGTGGAATGAGACGATGTCCCCATAAGGGGCAGACCAGGTGGGTGCTGGAGCTGAGTAGGGAGGAGTACATCTGCACAGGGTAGGGCAGCTACTGGAGCAGCCCAGCACTGTGACAGCAGAGCACCCCGTGGTGGGGAGGGTCTGGCATGGGATGTCGGAGCCAGAACAGAACAAAGAGAGTATCCATACAGGGGAGCAGAGTGTCAGAACCCAAATACAATGAAGAGGGTGTCCACACAAGAAAAGGGAACAGCCAAGGTGGAATGCCAAAGCCCAAGAAGAATGAGGTGCTGGTGGGAGGGTGTCCTACTATGGGAAGTTGGCTCCATGCAGGGAGATCAACCAAGCAAAGTGAATATATTAAGAATGATGGGAGCCAGTTTTCTCACTGATTAAGAAGGCAGTTACAAATACAGAAGGGGAGAAAACCAGAATGAGCCCTGTGGCTTTGAATTAGAATTAGAGGTATTATGTAAATTAATGGCTTTCAATATACAGAGATAAATATTAATGTAATTGTGAGACACACACACATATACACACACACTTTTTGTTCTGTCCACTGAGACAGCCTAGGAGCAATGAGCACACCAATAGCAATGAGCACACCTAGCACCCATATCTGACTTCTAAAAGCCATTCTCCATTGAAAGAATCCAAGGGGCAGGGAAAATACAAGATGAGCCTGTAAGATCTTTCGGGCCTACAAAGTAACAAAATGCTCTAAGAATGATGGAGCATGTTAAAAAGACCCAGAATCCAGTTTGAAGAGGTCCTCACTGGTCAAACCTGGGACAATGTGAGGATTAAAATAAACAATGAAAGTAATGGATAATAACCCACTGAATCAAACAGAAAGCTGAGTCCTTTCCAATATAAATAAATGAATAAGTGAAGTGAAAGTTCAGTGGGGAATAAACAGTATGTCAAGCATTCTGATGGTTGATGCCTCTTCTGGTCATTGGTGCTTGTTCTGATGGCTGATGCCTTGTTCTGATAGTTGGCATCTATTCTGACGGTTGGTGCCTATTGTGATACTGGGTGCCTATTCTGATGACTTGTGCCCCTTTCAATGGGTTTTTTTTAAATAACCTGTTCACCAGACCAAAACTATGGAAAACATGGTCCTTTAAAATTTAATTCTGAATATAAAACATTTGGGGAATATAATATCCTTGCACCTGTGTAGATGCATATGCTATTGAGGGAATACAACAATCAGAAATGATTTTTTTGTAGATAACCATTACATGTTTTAACTGTTTTCAATACCAGTATATATCTGACCAAAGAGAACGGTTTCATAAATAATGGATTTTTAAAAATAAAATTAAAAGAAATAAAAATGTAAATAAATAAAGTAAACCTTATGCTGGAAGCAGACACTCTCAAAAACGCCAACAGGCCTCCTTTGGCTTGTGTGCTCCTCCACCTGACAGCTGGCTCCGTTTCTGGATGTGGAATAATCCTCTTTGATTACTGTAGCTGTCTAGTTTATCTGTTGTTGCAGAAAGAATCAGATGTAAGGCACAGTATACACCTCCAGCGCTCATTTGTCTGAATTCGACTTTTAATAAGTTTGGAACAGGAAAGCCACATTTCCTTTCTAAAGTGCTTCAGAACATGTGGCAGTGGTTACCCCTTACATAAGACAGCCTGTTTATATTTATTTTAAAACATTGGTGCTCCCCAAGAATTTCTTTATCTTCTACTTATCTGTGAAGTGGATGTATTCCAAAAGACATTATGGGATGAAAAAATGCCTCATGATCCATTTATTCATGCACTTATTTACTAAAAAATAATTACCAGGCTCCTACCATACGCCAGGCGCTCTTGGAGACCTTGAGGATGCAGAGGTGAGCGATATCCTCACCGTTTTTTGTGGCAGTTGAACATCCATCCAAGAAGTTTCCTGGAATGCGTGCGAAAAGAAGCATCACTCCTACCCGCTTCCAGATATCCCCGCTTTACCCCAAAGTGGAGAGGAGACGTGTTCCCCAGGAGCTGCAGGTGAGCGATGGGGCCTAGCCAGGAGCCAGGTCTGCTGCCAAGGCGGGCCTACCCCAGTCCGGACCGCCCCCTTCGGGACACCCGGCGGGCGGGGCACGGAGGGGCCGGGCGGTGCACTCCGCTCCCTGCCCGCCTTCCTCCCGGCCCCCGGGGGGCGCTCGCGCCAAGGCATAGGAGCAGGCGGCGCGTGGGCGACGCGTGGGCTGCGTGGCCCGCGGATCTTCATAAGGTGGAAACTCTTTGCTGAGGCGTGGTGCCCCGCCGCCCGCTCTGGCCCCGCTTCCTCACTCTACCTCCCCACACTCTCCGCCGCCCTCGCTCCCCTCCTCTAGAGACTTTGGGCCGAGCGGACCCACCCCCGACGCCTAGAGTGGAGCCCGGCTCCCCGCGGAGCCCGAACTCCCGGCTTGGCGTCTCTTCTCTCTGCCGCCGCTGCGCTGCCCCGGAGCCCGAGGGGAGGGCAGCAAGTGGAGAGGAGACGTGTTCCCCAGGAGCTGCAGGTGAGCGATGGGGCCTAGCCAGGAGCCAGGTCTGCTGCCAAGGCGGGCCTACCCCAGTCCGGACCGCCCCCTTCGGGACACCCGGCGGGCGGGGCACGGAGGGGCCGGGCGGTGCACTCCGCTCCCTGCCCGCCTTCCTCCCGGCCCCCGGGGGGCGCTCGCGCCAAGGCATAGGAGCAGGCGGCGCGTGGGCGACGCGTGGGCTGCGTGGCCCGCGGATCTTCATAAGGTGGAAACTCTTTGCTGAGGCGTGGTGCCCCGCCGCCCGCTCTGGCCCCGCTTCCTCACTCTACCTCCCCACACTCTCCGCCGCCCTCGCTCCCCTCCTCTAGAGACTTTGGGCCGAGCGGACCCACCCCCGACGCCTAGAGTGGAGCCCGGCTCCCCGCGGAGCCCGAACTCCCGGCTTGGCGTCTCTTCTCTCTGCCGCCGCTGCGCTGCCCCGGAGCCCGAGGGGAGGGCAGCGCGACCCTCGACCTCGCCCACGGACGCACCGCCGCCGCACTCGGGCTGGACCCCGCCAGCCGAAGCCCAGTCCGCCCTCGGGGCCCCGCGCCTGGTAAGTAGGGGTGGACCCAGTACCGCGTCCCTGGGCTGCTGCGGGAGACCAACTTTTGAGTCCCACGTGTTCGCGTTCGCTCGGAGCCGTCCCTGCTGTTTAGGAAGAGCTGGGGGCAGCGTCTTGGCCCAGGGGAACTTTGGTGCGCCGTCTAGCTCCTGCCTTCCACCCGGCTCACCGGGGCCGGCGGGAGTGGGGAGAGTCCAACCTGCGCCTCCTGAGGGGAATGGGGAGGGGGAGGCGCAGTCTCAGCGTCCCAGCTGCAGTCGCAGCGCCCCACCTACTGAGCGAGGGGAAGTCGGGGGTGGGGGCGGGGATGTGCGGTGTCCCCGGGCTGGAGCCGCTGCAGTGGGACTCAGCCTCCTAACCATTCCCCCCACTCTTACAGTAGGTTCCAGTATTTGATTGAGCCTTGGGCTCTCGGGCTTACAACTCATCCACGGGCTCGAAACTCATCCATTGGCTCGTAGGTCCCTTGAAGAACTCAAAGATCTTGCTTTGTATTTTCCTTGAGTGGGAACCTGGACCCTGCCCCAAGGCTGCACATTGTTTCTGGATTGCCTCTCCCTTGTTTGCGCATCCCCCCCTCCCTTCCCTGATTTGCAAATGTTTGAACCTGCTGTTTGGAACGCGGGGAAGGTCTTGGAGGCTGAATGACGCCTACTTCCTACAAACCAGAAACGGGGTACACAGAAAGGCTTTTGTGTCCAGGAGGGCCCCACAAGTTCTTTGCTTTCAGGCTGATCCCTGAGTACTGTTAGGAAGACGCGTTCCTCCCTCCCCTTGAGGGACGCGGGTGGGCTTTAAGGCTCTAGTTCCCCCCACCCCTTGCTCCCGCCTTCCAGGTCCTTGGGGGTGCATGGAGGAGGGGGTGCAGGAGGGGCGAGGGCTGCAGGGGGGTCGGTGGTTGGCAGTGAGGGAAGCATTGCATGCGCGCCAGTGCGTGTCCTCAGAGGCGCTTCCCGCCCCGACCCCTCGTAGCCCAGGATCCCTGATTCCCTAATGGGCTGCCCAGGAAGCCAGTGGGCTGCGTTATGTGCTGCCTTGTCACAAGTAAGAGGAGATGGCCTCCCGCTGCACCAGGAGTGCCCAGGCTTTTGCCCAGACGTCCCCCCAGAGCTCCAAGCCCTGGGTCATGAGGCGTAGCTTTGTGGGAGCCGGTGTCCCTGGACCAGGGGCACTCGAAGGAGATGGTGGGTGCTGACCAGTGAAGCAAACTGGCCTTGGAGGTGGTTCACGCACATCTTTATGCAGGTGAATCAGGCAGCCTGGAACTAGGTGCTGGGTGCCCTGTAAGTGAGGCTGAATCTGGCCTCTGTACCCCGACACCGAATTAAATCTTGGAAACAAAGTTTTGGGTGAAGTACAAAAGAAGAGCTTTATTGCTTTGCCAGGCCAAGGGGGCCAGAGCGGGCTAATGCCCTCAAAACTATACGTCCCAACGGGGAGGGGGGAGTGAAGAGATTTATAGTAATGGTTCGAAGAGGGCGTGATCAGCTTGTGGACATTTTCCTGATTGGGTTGGTGGTGAGGTAAGTGGGAGGCAGCATCATCAACCTTCTGCTTCCACCTGGTGGCCTGAGGTCTACGTGCTTGTGGGAAGCATACAGTTAACTTCTCCCACCTGGTTGGGGTTTCAGTATCTGCAAAACAGCTCAAAGGTATTGTTTTGCGTGTCCCTTGAGGGGGAACCAAGACCCTACCCCAAGGCTGCACTATTGTTTCTTTTGGAGGTTCCTCCCTAGTCTCCGCATCCTCCTCCCTTCCCTAATTAGCAACTGTTTGAACCTGCTGGTTGGAACTCTGGGAAAGTAATGGAGACTGAATGAAGCCTATTTTCTGTAATCAAGAAATGACAGTGTTGACTTAAAAAAAAAAACACAACATAAGAGTTGAGAGTTATTTGGGGCAAAATGAGGACTGCAGCCCAGCAGACAGCGTTTCAGTGAACTCTGAGAAACTGCTCTGGGGAGACGAGGAGGGGAGCCGGGTTATATAGAAGTTTTATAACAAAGGGCAGGTAGTCAGAACGTCAAAAGGTTCTTGTTAACTAAAGAAAACCAGGTATCTCAAGTTAAGGAATTTAGCGCTTTTCAGTGTACGGGAAGATGCAAGAGTCTGGGCTCCCTGAAATCATTCCTTTGATATGCACCTCAGCCATCTGGGGCCTGTATCCTGTGTTTTCACATCCTGAGTTTCCTCAGGGCTCACCGTAGGGAGTGGCTGCAATCAGTTGGCTGCTAGATGGCAGGTATTCTTTTCAGCCCTGAGTTCCCTCAGGGCTCACTGGCTCACGTTGGAGGGCTGCAATCGTTGATGACTGTGACATCCTTTGTTTAGTGATATGGCAGGCAATATTCCATTTGTAAATATCCCATTACATTGATAAATATTCCATTTATCAGTCCCTCCTCTTGGTCTGAAATTAGACCACTGTTTGGGAGACATTTCATGACCAAATTCTGTCCCAGAGCGCTGGGAGGTTCATCCCAGATCAGGTGAAAATTCTTGTTGATATGCCACTCCAGGTGTTAATTTTCAGATTAGGCCCTGTTTAATCATCAGATGAAAGATTTTCTGGTTCCTTTGTCTTACTAACCTATTATGATCCAGGAAATGTTTTCCCTTGTTGAATCTTCCCATATCTAGAGTTGCACTATTACAATCACTGATCGCATACAGAACTATATATTTGATCAACTGTTTCAAGCTGCCTAGTCATCATTTTTGTTAGAGGCTCAGTCACACATTTGGTAATATAGAAAACGATCTTGTAAAACAGGCAAAATACAAATAATATAGCCAATAATATTAATAGAGTTATGAGTAAATATTTAAGCCAAGAGCATCCCACGGCAAACCAGTTTTCTAAGAGGTCGTCAGGATTTGGGGGTGGGTCACTTATGGCAGAAATCTGATTTTTCATATGGTTCATTAAACATGTTGTATTAGAGGATTCATCAGGTATGAAAACACAGCATTCAGTTTCAGTTATGGCACAGGTGCTTCCCTGAGATGCTGTAAGGATGTCAAGAGCCGTGCAATTTTGTAGCACTGCTTTTCTCATCATTTAGACCTCAGAATTCAGTAGGCTAATAGCCTGGTTACTATCATTGAGTACTGTAAGAGACAACGATCTTATAAAATAGACAGTATATGGGGCTTCCCTGGTGGCGCAGTGGTTGAGAGTCTGCCTGCCGATGCAGGGGACACGGGTTTGTGCGTCCGGAGCCTGTGCTCCGCAACGGGAGAGGCCACAGCAGTGAGAGGCCCGCGTACCGCAAAAAAGAAAAAAAATAGGATATAAGTAATGCAGCTAGTAATATTGACAAAGTCATAGTGCAGCAGGGAGACACAATTATAAACAATTTGGAAATAAAGAACAAATTAAAACAATGCTTAGTATAACTAGTTGTAATCCAGTTGCAATAAACCATCAAGTCCATAGGAGAGCCAGCTGGAAAAGCCAAATTCTGGCAGGATCAGGTAGAGCGAAAAAGATAAATGTTTTATCTTTGTTTACAAGGGTATACTTTATCAACTTGTAGGTCATAGCATAAGAGAAAAGGTTTTTCTGGAAAAACAATATTAAAGCTAGTATATTTCCCAAAGTCATAAAGTTATAAATCATATTCAACAGTTCATTCAGCCCCATGTAATTGATTCCTGTTGATCTGGATGAAGTAATCAGGTTTTCCATCATTTGTTACATAATTCAGTGGTGTTATCTAAAGGCCATCAGAAACTTATGTTTGTTAAAAAAAAAAGTTCTTCTAATGAGTCTTGAAAATCTTCATTCTGTAAAAGCATCAGGACAAAACTTAAAATAGCATGGTTAAAGATTTGAGTACAATGCAATTAGTAGGAAACTTGGATATTTCCGTGACATATAACATTTTAGAATAATTAGAATTATGACTGATAACATTGTATCAGCATATCAGATGTTAGGAATTCCATATAAATTTTGGAATATCTATATTAATGACATTTATCCATACACTATAACCTAAGGTTCGTCTCCAATCACTTGACAATGTTTCTGAAGTAATTAAACATACCAAATAAACTTAGTTTAACATTCCTCTCTAAAGGTTCTGAAGAACCTTAGGGGCAGGACAGGAATAAAGACACAGACATAGAGAATGGACTTGAGGACACGTGGAGGGGGAAGGGTAAGCTGGGACGAAGTGAGTGGCATGGACTTATGTATACTACCAAATGTAAAATAGCTAGCTAGTGGAAAGCAGCCGCATAGCACAGGGAGATCAGCTCAATGCTTTGTGCTTTGTGACCACCTAGAGGGTTGGGATAGGGAGGGTGGAAGGAGACGCAAGAGGGAGGAGATATGGGGATATATGTATATGTATAGCTGATCCACTTTGTTATAAAGCAGAAACTAACACACCATTGTAAAGCAATTATACTCCAATAAAGATTTTTTTTTTAAATTCCTCTCTAAAGATGTCTCAGAGATGTTCCTTCAAAGCATCCCAGAGTCAGCTGGAGGCTAAAAAGAACTTTAGTTGGATTTTAATATTTGGGAAGTTTGTTAAAAATATCAAAAAGGTTTTAAAACACAACAGGTCATTGTGAAACAATACTTATTCATTTAACCAAAGTCACAAAAAGATTAGTTAAGGGAACAGAAACTCACACAATCTGTTATCAAAAAGGAGCACTCTAAGAAACTTTGTTCAAATTCCAGTCTTGTACCAGTTTACTTAACAAAATCTATTTACTTAGTTAACTTCAGTCTAAATTTAGTTAATCCTGACCATGCATAAAACTTTTTTTCCTCAGGGTTTCTTTTCCACAACCTTTCATTATCTGTATTCATATAAGCCTGTCCCTTATTTTTTCTATCCAAATAAACCAGCCAGCCCTAAGATATACGTTTTTCCTTTTCCCTCAATAAAATTTAATTCCATTCCTCATATCTTCTTTACTGGAAACACACATTCTACTTTCCTGGAAACACACATTCTACTTTACTGGAAACACACATTCTACTTTCCTACTGTAAGCTATAAGCTTGTTGGTTGGCTCTTAATGAAAAGTAAAGTTAAAGGTATAAAGTTGATGGAATTGAGATAACTGAAATATTTCTGTATTATTCCCATCAGCTTTAATTACATGTTTAAATTAGAATCCTCAACTCTTAAAAACCTTAATTTCTAGTGAAAGTTAAGAAGTAAGCAATTATGAACTGTCTTT